ATTTGTTTGGGGTGGGGTTTTGCTCACGGGTTGTGTTACGAATCCTGTTGGTGGTGTTTCCCCAACATAATGCCACATTGTTTCTCTCTCTTATTAAAAGGCTTTTGCTACACTCAGACTCTGTGCTTGCGAGAGGGGAATATTGCCTCTTGGAGGCGCTCAGCAGGGGTGGTATATATTTCTCCCAGGTCACTGGGTGTGGGCTCGAGCCGGTTTGCATTGTGTTATTGGAATGGATCCCCTAGATATTGAACCCGGCCCTCATTGCTGCCAACTCTGACGGGCAAAAGGGTTACACTCCTCTTGATCCTCCCGTGTAAAGGGCGTCCCTGGGACATTCCCCAGGCTAGGGCCTGGACCCATGACCCGCCAGGGCCCCTCAGTTCTCCAGCCCGGGGAGATGCACTGTGAGGGCCACCGCTCAAATGCTGCTCACACCCAGCCTCCAGCCGAGGGGTGGGCAAAATACGACCCGGGGGCCACATCCGGCCCTCCAGATGGTTTCATCCAGCCCTCGAGCTCACACCGAGGAGTGGGGTCTGGGGCTTAGCCCGCTCTGGTGCTCCAGCCAGAGAGCCGGGTGGGGGGCTTTCCCCGCTCTACATGGCTCCCAGAAGCAGCGGCAGGTCCCCCCTCCGGCTCCTATGCGTAGGGACCCCCGCAGCACCCACTGGCTGGGAACTGTGGCCCATGAGAGCTGCAGGGACGGCGCCTGCGGACGACGTGGTGCCCAGAGCCTTGGCTTAGGAGCCAGGGCAGGGACATGCCACTGCTTCGGGGAGCTGCTTGAGGTAAACGCCGCCCGGAGCCTGCACCCCTGAACCCCTCCTGCACCCCAGCCCCCTGCCCCAGCCCTGATCCCCCTCCCTCCATCTGAACCCTTGGGTCCCAGCCCGGAGCACCCTCCTGCACCCCCAACCCCTCATCCCTAGCCAGAGCCCTCAGCCCCTCACCCCAAATTTCCTGAGCAGTCATTGCCGGCCATACAATTTCCATACCCAATTGTGGCCCTCGGACCAAAAAGTTTGCCCACCTCTGCTCCAGCCTGTAAATCGCTCCCCGTTATATTGCAGCCAGACCCCTCCCCCACCCCCCGAATCACACTGCAGAGCGACACCAGCAAACCCCCCAGCCCAGCAAACCCCCCTGCCCAGAACTCCCAGCGCCCTCCGGGCCAACACAAGCTCCTAGAAAGTCCATCACTGATTCCTTGAAAGGAGACGCCCCGATCCTGTCAGCCCAAGGGAAGGTCCCAGACACACCCTGCTTTAGATCGAACACTGAGAACCAGGGAAGGGCAGGAGCTAAGTGATTACAAGCCAGAAAAGGCAGAAACGGTCTGTGCGAGGGGTGTGATGGCGCCTCCCTCTGGCCAAATGTGGCACAGCCCCAAGGTTCACGTAGCCCAACCGGGGCAGGGGGGATCCCAGGCCTGCCCAATCCTCTGACTGCTGGCTCAGGGCCCTCCAACGAAATAAACGGGCTCAGAGGAGCTCCCACCCTGCCAGAGCCCGGAGCACCTCCCTACCTCCCCCCGGGGCTCTGCGTCCCTGCACCTTTGGGGGCTTGCAGCCAGCCGCTCCCTCCTCTCTGGCAGCTGCTCTGCCCCACGGCTTTCCAGCCCCTTTATTCCTCCCAGCTGTGGTTAGCAGGGCACGCTTTAAACCTTCAGTCTCTGGAACACTATGGGGTGCTTACGCCCCAAGACAGGTACAAAGAAATCAAAGGTCAAAGGCAAGCGACGCCTCCCTTCACAGGCTAAGTCAGTTCAAAGAAAAGTTTTCCTGGCTCCCAGCTCCCACCCGTTGCACCCCCATTCCCCTTTCAAACCCGGGGAATGAACCCAGGAGTCCTGGCAGGAATCTCAGCGCTGATGGGCAGGGGAACATTTCCAAGCAGGATTACATGTGGATGGGGGTAGTGCTCCTCATCGGGATGACCCCAAGCCCAGGTGAGAGCTGGAGGAGGAATGAGAAGAAGGAAGGACAGACAGACTCAGACCCGCTGGCCAGGCCCCTAGCGTGGGCTGTGGGAGTCCGAAGCTCCAATCCTTGCTCCCCCCGATTCAGTCGGGGGACATGGCCCCGGGTTTTCCTCTCGCTGGTTTTACCCACAAATTCCATCCTGACCCCAGAATCCGCCATCCACAGCGGCACGTTCCCCAGGTGAATTCCGGCTCCCTGTGCCTGGGGACGGACGGGACTCACCTGTGGCCAGGAGAGCGGACAGCAGGCAGAGGGGCAGAGCCACCCACATGGTGCCCAGGTGTTTGCTGCAGTGAGCAGGACAGCGAGGAAGCATCTGGCTGTGGTTTTCTCAGGCAGGTTGGCAAATACCTGCCCCCTGGGGGATCGGCTGGGGCTGCCCCATGACATCCTGGTGCACCCGGAGATGGGAGATTTCACAGCCGTGCATGGGACACTGGCTGATCAGGTGATGCAATGTGTACTCAGGCCAATTCACTTGTGCATTAGTGGAGATCAGCGGTTCTCAGCCAGGGGTCCATGTACCCCAGGGGTACGCACAGGTCTTCCGGGGCACATCAGCTCATCTAGATATTTCCCTCGTTTTACAATCAGCCACTTTAAGGCACGAGTGAAGTCAGTACGAGCTAAACTGTGGACCTCTTGTTCACATTGCTCTATATACTCTACACTGAAATGCCAGTGCAGGATTTGTCCTGCGTTCCCACCGAGTTATTTTATAATGGCAGAAATGAGAAAGGAAGCAGCTTGTCAGCAGCAGCATGGCCGTGACCTTGTGCATTTTTATGGCTGGTTTTGTGAGCAAGTCATTTTTCAGTGAGGGGAAACTTGGGGTACCAAAGACACATCAGACTCCCGCAAGGGGTACAGCTGTCTGGAAAGGTCGAGAGCCCCTGGCCTAGATCAAAGGCATGGCGAAGGTAGAACTGTGTTTGGAGTTTCAATTTCATGAAAACCAATGGGCCGTCACCTGGTTTTCCCTTCCCCGTCTGCTGTTTTAAGGGAGTAACAACCATTCACCCTGAGCACAGCCCTGGGACTCACTGACCCAGCAGAGACGCCGGAGGGATGCTAAAGAGGAACTTTAGCACCAGGAAAGTGCTGACCCCAAAGTCAGGGCCATCGCGTGTGCTGACCGCCGCATTCCTCCCTCCCCCAATCGAAGGCAAAGCCTACGTGGGTGGGGGCCCTGCCAGCTTGTTCTCTGGGAGAAGAAGCTGTAAGGATGGATTCAGGGAAGGATCCTGCCTCACTGGGCCGGCTGGATTCTTACAGGGACCGGAACGGGATGCAAAGCGGGGATCCCTGGAGACCGTCTGGGGGCACCTGAAAAGACTTGGGAAAATGGCAGTTTCTTCCATCACCGCCACCGTTTGGAACTACAGACTGCAACTCACCTGGGCATGAATTTTACCGGCTTTAACTCCTCGTGACCCTAATTCCCTTTCCTTAGCTCACGAACCTTTAGCGAGTTTCCTACAGACCTGGCTGCCAGCGTTGCCTTTGCTGTAGGATCTGGGGTCCCGTGGCTCTGGGGTAAGTGACCGGTCTCCTGGGGCTGGGAACAACCTGGGTGGGCTGGTTTGGGGTGTACGTGACCTTTTCTCCCAAAGTCCGGCTTGTCTGAGAGTATCTGAGGGGACTGGCTGTGACTCCGGGGTCAGACGGGGGCAGCGATCCAGGAGTTCACGCTGGGTGAAATCTACTCACAGAGCACCACCGGCTGGGGGGATCTGCCCTGTTTCCTGACACCTTCCCTGAGCCCGGCACTCCCAGTGGAGCCGCCCCAGAGAGCGGGACGAACTGAGCCCTGCAAAATCAACCTAGAAGGACATTTCTCCCCTCCAGGGCGTTCCCGCCCGCCTGGACAGCTGGGTGAGCCACGGCCTCTCCTTCCCACAGCCCTCCTTCCCCAGGGGAGCTCAGCCAGCCGGTGCCTTTCCCCCAGCCACGGGCCTTGCCTTGGGGGAGGGGGTCCAGGCAGGACTCCTGGGTTCCATTCCCTGGCCCTGCAAGGGGAGAGGGGTCCAGTGGTTAGAGCAGGGGCCTTGGGAGCCAGGACTCCTGGGCTCTGTCCCTGGCTTTCAGAAGGGAGTGGGCTCTGGTGGGTTACAGGGGGGGTTACTGGGAGTCAGGACTCTCGGGTTCTCTTCCTGCCAGCATCACTTGTGCACAGATAGGGGAAGGGGGGGCCCGGTACGGGGCGGTCAGGGGACAAGGAGCAAGGGGGGTGCTTTCCCCACAACTCGCTTTGATTCAGCCAGTGCACAAAAGGGACCCGCAATCCCCCGCAAAGAGAAGCAGCAGCCAGTGGCGGCTGAAGGGAGGTGCACTGCAGCCCGGCACACAGCAGAAGGGCAGGACGCCAGACTGGGGCTCAGGCTCCCCTATGCCTCCACCGGCTCTGGGAGCTGGGTAGCACTCGGCCCGGATCAGCATCTGCACTACACCCTGGGCGTATTTCCTCTCCCCCTCTCTCTTCATGCAAGCGCCAGGGGAGCCACATCCAGCCACAGCCTTCTTCACGGTCATGTCACCTGGACGGGGGGAGAGAGACGTGATCAGGGGCTCCCACATCCCCCTCCCCTGACCCCCATGTGGTTTCTCACACACTCCCCTCCCAGCAGGACTGCACCCGGCTCTGCAGGCAGAGTGGGGTCTCGTGCTCAGAGCAGGGGGCTGGAACTATGTGAGAACATAACAGAGGAACGGCCCTCCTGGCCTCACCCCAAAGTCCATCTAGCCCAGTATCCTCTGGCCAATGCCAGGTGCCCCAGAGGGAATGAACAGAACAGGGAACCTTCCACTGATCCATCCCCTGTCGCCCATTCCCAGCTCCTGGCAAACAGAGGCTAGGGCCACCTTCCCTGCCCACCCTGGCTAATAGCCACAGATGGACCTGTCCTCCAGGAAGTTCTCTAGTTCCTGTTTGAACCCTGTTATAGTCTTGGCCTTCAAAACATCCTCTGGCAAGGAGTTCCACAGGTTGACTGTGCGTTGTGTGAAGCAGTACTTCCTTTTGTTTGTTTTAATCCTGCTGCCTGTGGTGACCCCTCGTTTTTATGTTAGGAGGAATAAATAACTCTTGCTTATTTCCTTCCTCCACACCCTTCAACCTTCTCTAGACCTCGATCATATGCCCCCTTAGCCGTCTCTTTTCCAGGGTGAAAAGTCCCACTCTTATTAATCTCTCCTCATATGGCAGCAGTTCCATCCCCCTCATCATTTTGGTTGGGCTTTTCTGAAGCTTTTCCAATTCCAATATCTCTTTTTTGAGACAGGGCGACCACATCCGTACGCAGTGTTCAAGCTGTGGGCGTCCCATGGATTTATATAGAGGCAACATGCTTTGTCTGTCTTATTCTCTGTCCCTTTCTTCATGATTCCCTCATTCTGTTCACTTTCTTCACGGCCGCTGCACATGGAGTGGATGATTTCAGAGAACTCTCCACTATGACTCCAAGATCTTTCTTGAGTGGTAAATTCGACCCATCATTGTGTATTTCTACTTGGGATTACGTTTGCCCATGTGCATTACTTTGCATTTATCAACATTGAATTTCAGCTGCCGTTTTGTTGCCCAGTCACCCAGTTCTGAGAGACCCTTTAGTACCTCTTCGCAGTCTCCTTTGGACTTAACTATCTTGAGTAGGTTTGTATCTTCTGCAAATTTTGCCACCTCACGATTTACCCCTTTTTCCAGAACATTTTGGAATATGGTGAATAGGACTGGGCCCAGTGCAGATCCCTGGGGGACTCCCACTATTTACCTCTCTCCCTTCTGAAAACTGACCATTTCTTCCTCCCCTTTTTTCCCTATCTTTTAACCAGTTACTGAGCCATGAGAGGATTTTATCGCATGACAGCTCACTTTGTTTAAGAGCCTTTGGTGAGGGACGCTTTCTGAAAATCTAAGTGAAGGGTTCATGTTTAGCTATTCCACCTGGAAGCAGGCAGGGCACACCCTGACTGTTTTGTAGAAGCAATGCACACATTGCTCTATCCAAGGACAAGGGCTAGATATGAACCATGAGAACTTGATTGTTGGGGCAGCAACTGTGGGAAGCTTTCTTAGCCTGGGCTCAAGGCCTGAGAACCAGGATTGTAGTAGATAAAGAATGGTAAATAAGTATATTAATCAACGTCATACATTCCTTTGTGTATCTTTTGGGTAGCAGGTGTAATGTAGGGGGAGAAATATAATAAAAGGAGAAGGTGGAAGGCGGGGGGGCAGAAAGCCCATCTCAGCTGACCAGCCTGCTTGCTTGCATAAAGCTGTGTTCTGTCTCATCATTGAACCGCCACATCTAAGTACACTATATCCACGGGATCCCCCTTGTCCACATGCTTGTTGACCCCCTCAGAGAATTCTAGTAGATTGGTGAGGCGTGATTTCCCTTTACCAAAACCATGTTGACCCTTCCCCAACAAATTATGTTCATCTATGTGGCTGACAGTTCTCTTCTTTCCTATAGTTTCAATGAGTTTGCCCAGTACTGAAGTCAGACTTATTGGCCTGTAGTTGCCGGGATCACCTCTGGAGCCCATTTTAGAAATTGGTGTGTCATTAGCCATCCTCCAGCCAGTTGGGACAGAAGCTGATTTAAATGGTAGGTTACAAACCACAGTTAGTAGTTCTGTAATTTGACGTTTGAGTTCCTTCCAAACTCTTGGGCGAATCCCATCTGGTCCTGGTGACTTATTACTGTTTAATTTATCAATTTGTTGCAAAAACTCCTGTAATGACTCCTCAATCTGGGACAGTTCCTCAGATTTGTCACCAAAACAGAATGGCTCAGGTTTGGGAATCTCCCTCCCATCCTCAGCCGTGAAAACCGATGCAGAGAATTCATTTAGTTTCTCCGCAATGGCCTTATCCTCCTTGGGTGCTCCTTTGGCATCTCGGCAAGTAGGACTCCAGGGTTCTCTCTGCAACTCTGCCAGGGGAGTGGAGTCTAGTGGGTCAGAGCAAGGGGGGCTGGGACTGAGCCAGGACACCTGGGCTCCACCTCGTACTCTGTGTTCAGACCCCGCCCCCATCTGGAGAACTTACCCAGTGTTAATATCCCAGATTCCTCAACACAATGGTCCTCAGTGCCGGTGCAGGCCAAGATCCCCACCTCCTGCCTGTCAAAACGATCCCCTTTGAAAACCATAGGGCACTGCCGGCCATTGGGGACGGAGCTCACAGTTGGCACTGAGAACAGTCAGACACACACAGTCAGCCAGGGGTGGGGAGTCACCACACGCTGGGCTCGATCCCAGCTCGGGGAAGGGAGTGGGGTCTAGTGGTTAGAGCAGGGGGGCTGGGAGCCAGGACTCCTGGGTACTCTCCAGGCAGGTATGGCCAGAGCACGGCTCTAGGTTTGCAGCAGACACACACCTGGGATGGCCTCCGGCGTTGCAGCCGTCGGTGTCACAGCAGGCGATGTTCACCCGCACGGTGACATTGTGCGCGTAGGTCAGCGAGAAGGGGCCGGGCTCACAGTTCTTGGGCTCCAGGCACGATTTACCAGTGTAGGAGAAGGAGTTTCCCACTGTGGAAGAGAAACGTAGAATCACCTCTGAGCTCCCCAATGGACCCCCAGCTGCTTCATCCTCCCCTTTTGTTCCATCCACCCCACCCCCAACTAATCTCATCTTCCCCCCACCCCCGATAAAATCCTCTCTTCTGTCTGATCCAGGGCCCACAGCCACCCACTGCAATTCCCATCTCATCCCATCCCCTGTCTATGACATTACCTTTCCAGACGGAGCAGTCCCTGCTCCTGGAGAGGAGCAGAGTCTATTGGTTAGAGTAGGGGGAGGGGCTGGGAGCCAGGACTCCTGGTTTCGACCCCTGGCTTCAGGAGGACAATGGTGTCTACATTTAGTAGGAATCTTCTTTCACTCACCCAGCCTGAACTCTGCCACGACAGTGACGCAGGTCGCTTCCGAGGCGGCGCAGGGCTGTAGGGGGCCGGAGCATGATTGCTCTGCGGACACACACACCTCGCATTGCAGAGCGCTCCCTGGAGGTTGGAAAAATCCCTTCTCAGTACAAACTGAGGCTTCCCACCCCTCCCCAGGCAGTGCCCGTGGGCGAAATACCACCACCAACCAACTGTGGGAGTTGTTACCACCAATGCCTCCTCACTGAACGTGTGGGCAGACAGATCTTGGAGAAATGCCACCTGCTTTTGCAGCAGTTCTGCCCAGTTCCATTTAAATCTCCGGATGGGGAAAGGCATCTTGCTAGCTGGTCATTTGTATCTTACTCAAAACCACACACAAGTCTGTTTGCTGCCTGAGTGTCTGTGGCTAGAATACATTTTCAGCTGCTGACGTGGCTATCTGGGGTGCAGCTTGTGCCTGTGAACAAACCCCACACGTCTGTGTAGACAGAAAAACAAGAATTCGGCTGTTCTGAAGAGGATTTTCTGCCTGGCTTTGCAGTGAACCTTTCACACACACACACACACACCCCGCCGTCACTCTCTGCTCCAGGCCTCTGCCTCTCAGAGTTACGTCAGCTCAGCCACACTCGACTTCAGCCCACTTTTCATCGCTGATCCTGCCAATTTGCTTCTTCAGAATACAATTGACGCTTGTCAAGCCTTTGGATAGATGGCTGTGCACCTCCATCCAGCGATCCTAGGAGCATCAACTCTTTCCTCTCCAGAGCGTGGGGGACTTTAATTCATTACGTGAGCGTAAGGTAGTTTTAAGAAGAAAGAAAGAAAGAAAGATTTTCCCACTTTGGTATTTTTAGAGCTTTCATGTGTAAACATCAATTAAACCTCAGAACACCTTCCCCTGCCCTTCTATGTCACGAGATGGTTGCAAAGTTATATTATCCCTATCAAAGAAATATGGAAACTGAGGTAGAAAAAGGATGTGTTCAATTCAGAGTTAGAACCAAGAAGACAGCTGAGAAATCCTCACTCCTGACTCCCAGCCCAATCTAACCCACGAGATCCCACTCCTCTTTCAGAACCATGGACAGAACCCGGGAGTCCTGATTTGCAGCCATCTCTGCTCAAACTCACAACACCCCAGCCCGCTTCTACAGCAGGGGAATGAGCCCAGATGTCCTGGCTCCCAGCCCCCACCCGTTGCACCCCCATTCCCCTTTCAAACCCGGGGAATGAAGCCAGGAGTCCTGGCAGAAATCTCAGCGCTGACAGGCAGGGGAACATTTCTAGGCAGGATGACATGTGGACGGGGGTGCTGCTCCTCATCGGGATGACCCCAAGTACGATCCACTGAAATGTAGGAACAATATTTATATCCCAGTGGAGTTATCTTATAATTACACAGTGGAACTGAGAAAGGAAGCTATTTGTCAGTCACAATGTGGCCGTAAAACTTATGTATTTTTATAATAACATAAGAAAGGACCTGTCATAAATATAAAGGGAAGGGGAACCGCCTTTCTGTCCCCGGTGCTATAAAATCCCCCATGGCCAGTGGCAAAACACTTTCACCTGTTGTCATAAATAGAAAGGGAAGGGTAAACTCCTTTATAATCCCTCCTCTCCAGAGGAAAAATCCTCTCACCTATAAAGGGTTAAGAAGCTAAAGGTAACCTCGCTGGCACCTGACCAAAATGATGAAAGAGGAGATAAGATACTTTCAAAAGCTGGGAGGAGAGAGAAAAACAAAGGGTCTGTGTCTGTCTGTGTGATGCTTTTGCGGTGGACAGAACAGGAATGGACTCTTAGAACTTAGTAAGTAATCTAGTTAGGTATGTGTTAGATTATGATTTCTTTAAATGGCTGAGAAAATAGCTGTGCTGAATAGAATGGATATTCCTGTCTGTGTGTCTTTTTGTAACTTAAGGTTTTGCCTAGAGGGATTCTCTCTGTTTTGAATCTAATTCCCCTGCAAGGTATTTGCCATCCTGATTTTACAGAGGTGATTCTTTTCTACTTCTATTAAAAGTCTTCTTGTAAGGAAACTCAATGCTTTTTCATTGTTCTAAGATCCAAGGGTTTGGGTCTATGGTCACCTATGCAAATTGGTGAGGATTTTTACCAAACCTTCCCCAGGAAGTGGGGTGCAAGGGTTGGGAGGATTTCGGGGGAAAGACGTGTCCAAACTACATTTCCCAGTATACCCAGTTAAAGTTTGGTGGTGGCAGTAGAAATCTAGGGGCAAAGGACAAAATTAATTTGTACCTTGAGGAAGTTTTCACCTAAGCTGATGAAAGTAAGCTTAGGAGGTTTTCATGCAGGTCCCCACATCTGTACCCTAGAGTTCAGAGTGGGGAAGGAACCTTGACATGGTGGCAGAGTGGTCGGATTAACCTGAAATCATTTTGAGATCAATTTGAGATTTTTTTGAACCAGAAAAACGGATTTTAAAAAGGATTTTTTTTTCCTTTGGGGCTGCTGGAAAGGAGGTCCAACTGAAAACAACTAGTTTTTTCTCTGCTTTGGGGCCAGAGCAGAGACAAAAGGGGATTGTCTGTGTGAATTGCAGGTTTTCTCTGCCTGGAGGCAGAGTAGTTAATCTCCTGCAGGGAAATTCACGGTCTTCAAAAACCTGAGGTTTTTTTGCCCTAAAACTAAATGGGAGGGGGGGGTGTTCTACCCATTTGCCTGGAGACAAAAGTGGCAGGGTGTTTTTTTTTAGGATTTTGATTTTTTTTTTAGAAGGAGCACAGATTTGAACACGAATTTTTTTTTCCTTTGGGGCTGCTGATCAGCAGGTTTCCAAGTAGTTGGAGGTTTTTTGCTTTGATTTGGGGCCAGAGCAGAGACAAAGGGAATTCTCTTTTTCTGTAGGCTGACGATCACTATCCGAGAATAGGTATCCTAATAGGTATTAGGTATCCTAATAGGTATACCTAATACCTATTAGGTATACCTAATAGGTATTAGGTATCCGAGAATAGGTATCCAAAATTTTCCAGCCAAGTTTTGTTTGTTTATATCCAAACCTCGGGTGTAAAGTTAGTTAAACACAGAGAGGTTAGGATGACAGAATCCACGGCTCAACAAAAGCTGGCATTAGCCAGATTTCAGGCTGAGGAAAAACAAAAGGAACATGAAAGACAGATAGAACTCATGCGTCTGGAGAAGGAGGTACAGGAGGCTGCCCACAGGAGGGAAATGGAGGCAAGGAAGCATATGGAGGAGGAGAAGGAAAAAGAGAGGCAGCATGTGGAGGAGGAGAAGGAAAAAGAGAGGCAGCATGAACTGGAGATGGAGAAGGTAAAGGCTCAGCAGAATATACCAACAAACCCTAACAATCCTTCTCCAGGTACCACTTCCCATCCCAGAAAGTTCCCCACCTACAAGCAAGCGATGATACCGAGGCCTTCTTAGAAAACTTCAAAAGGGCCTGCCTTGGGTACAGCATTTCTACAGACCAATACATGGTAGAGCTGAGGCCGCAGCTCAGTGGACCCTTAGCTGAGGTGGTGGCCGAAATGCCTAAAGAACACATGAACAAGTATGAACTGTTTAAATCCAAGGCGAGACTCAGAATGGGGATAACACCCAAGCATTCTCATCGGAGGTTCAGAGCCCTAAGGTGGAAACCAGACGTGTCATTTACCTGACATGCCTACCACATTCTGAAACACTGGGATGCCTGGATATCAGGAGCAAGTGTTGAATCTTCAGTAAATTTGCCCTTCCTAATGCAAATGGAACAATTCTTAGAGGGTGTTCCTGAGGAAATAGAAAGATACATCCTAGATGGGAAGCCCAAAACTGTAATCGAGGCAGGAGAGATCGGAGCCAGATGGGTGCAGGTGGCAGAGAAGAAGAAAACTGGTCGCAGTTGGAGCGGAGAACAGAAGGGACAACCCCAGACCACAGCCTATTACCGGGGGCCGCCCAAGGCCCCACCTACCTCCCAAAGAACCCTCCAGACACCTTATCGTCCCACCACCCCATTCTCCAGCAACCCACCTCGCCCCAGCGACCCATCAGCTGGACTATGTTTTAAATGTAACGAGCTGGGGCATGTAAAGGCCAACTGCCCCAAGAACCCCAACAGATTACAGCTCATTGCACCGGAATCACACCAAAGATCCGCAGGCCCAGATACCTCCCAGATCCCTTGGAGTGGAGGGAAACTGTGAGTGTGGGCGGGAAGAAGGTCACCGCGTGGAGGGACACCAGAGCACAAGTGTCAGCTATCCATGCTTCCTTAGTGGACCCCAATTTAATCAACCCAGAGATCCAAGTGACGATTCAACCTTTCAAGTCCCACTCTTTCAATTTGCCTACAGCCAAATTGCCTGTCCCAGGTCTGGTCAGTAACATGGACTTTTGCAGTCGATGATGATTATCCCATCCCCATGCTGTTGGGGGAAGACTTGGCCAATCATGTGAAGCGGGCGAAGAGGGTGGGAATGGTAACCCGCAGCCAGGCTAAATGAGCCGTGAGGCCTAGCTCTGTTCAGGAAACTTCTACCAGGACCCGGTCAGAGGTGATGGACCCGGACCCCAGGCCAATGTCGGCAACAGCAGTAGTGGATCCAGTCCCAGAGACCCAGATGGAACCAGTCCCAGAACCAGAACCAGAGGAACAACCAGCACCAGACCCATTGCCAGCACTGAATCCAGTACTTGCAACCTCAACACCAGAGGGCCCTACCGAACCTGAACCAGCAGCAGCCCATAACCCTACACAAGAGGCTCAGCCAGAGCCTGAACCCCAACATGGTGTCCCAGCAGAGAGCGGTTCACAGTCAATGGAAACAGCCCCATCCCCTACATTCCTCCAGAGGGACCAAGCATAGGTCCACAATCCAATGAGGAACTGATGTCTCCAGCATCAAGGGAACAGTTCCAGACCGAACAGGAAGTGGATGAAAGCCTCCAGAGAGCTTGGACAGCGGCACGGAGCAACCCACCACCTCTCGGATCTTCTAATCGATCCAGGTTTGTTGTAGAAAGAGGACTTTTATACAAAGAAACTCTTTCTGGTGGACACCAGGAAGACTGGCATCCTCAGAAACAGTTGGTAGTTCCAACTAAATACCGGGCCAAGCTCTTGAGCTTAGCCCACGATCACCCTAGTGGCCATGCTGGGGTGAACAGTGTTGTACCAACTAAAAAAAAAACCAGCAGGATCTTATTAAAGGGAAAAGAAAAATACCACATTTATTGTGAATACAGAAAGAATCATAGTAAGCAGTTAGTTATAGCTATAACATTCCATTCAATCTCATATTTAGTCACACATTCATTCATACAAAACACACCACACACAGGTTCTGCAAGGTTGTTAT